TGCCACTCAACATCACCGTTGAGGTCAATGGCATCAATTGACTTGGCCACAAACATGGCTTCCTCGTAGGAAACCCACGGCATCGGAACCGCCTTCTTCAGCATGTGGATGGCAATACAGAAGCGCAGCCATGGGAGTGGGATAGCACGTTCGCTCTCTGCACAGCGGTCGATGATGGTATCCCTTAGGCGCTGCAGCTCGGCGGGATGAGTACCCTCACCTGCGGTGAACCTGGTGCTATCGATGATAAAGTGTGACTCGTCGTTCCACACCAAGGACTCGTAGGGCGAGTTCTTGATCTTCTGCTGGAGTAGCTTGCGTGGATCTTTCAGATTGGTCTTCAGCCACTCGTCACTCTGGCAGCCAACCATGAGCACATCATCCGTAGTACTTTCTTCAGTGTCGGCTTTAGCATGGAGCAGAAGCATGTCAAGCCAGGACAGTAGCTGGTCCAGTCGAGTTGCATCTGAGGGTAGAGTGGTTCGCTCGACGTACTCCTTCTTGCCAACTCGGGTCTCCTCCATCTTAGGCAGCCTCTCCAGGAGAGGGTGAGATGAGTTGTACGCAGCAATGAACGTGGTGTTCTTCGACATGAAGAGAGGCTGCACGGACTGGTAGACCTGCTGCCCGCCAAGGTCACGGAAGGTGACGACAGTGTAGTCAGGCCTGTTTGCTTGCTCATGAATGAAACCCATGTTACGCTTGAGAAAGTCGGCGACCGTCTCGTGGATTGCATTGCGAAATAGTTGCTTGTCAGACGGCTGCTCGACAGGCTTCGGCTGACTGACATCAGGTGCTCCATCTTTTTCATCCACAACCTCAGCAGCTTCGGGCACATCCGTGTTGGCCTTTGCTGCACTCGTTTCTACTTGCCTCTCATCCTCCTTGTTGCGGTCTGCCACAACAGGAAACGTGCGCAGCATAGTGGTGATGTAGAGCTGATTCATGGCTTGCGATATGTCGTCGCATTCCACAAACCGTCGCTCTCGGGAGACCTCGGTGGTAGCATACGACGTGCGCATGCCTGGTGTGCTGAGTTCGTCTTCGTTGTGATCCTTATCCATGAGTGCATTCAGCAGGCTAGTCTTCCCGACGCGGGCTGCTCCGAGGATAGCCACGTGCAGGAAGCGAATGGTTGTGGTTCCGCCTCGGTTGGCTGCTTCTTGCTGAGCCTTCTCGACTACCTGAAGATCAGTCCGCGGGCCAGGTTCCAACTCTGACTCTGTGGACAGGAGAGACAACACAAGCAGAGCAAGCAGAAGGTAAATTAATGTCAGGGAATAGTACCAGCATGAGCCCATGGGTAAAGGCTGCATACAGGCCTCTTCAGACACAGCATATATTCCACAGGCCTCTTCAGACACAGCATATATTCCACAGGCCTCTTCAGACACAGCATATATTCCACAGGCCTGTTCAGACAGCATATATTCCACAGGCCTGTTCAGACAGCATATATTCTACAGGCCTGTTCAGACAGCATAATATTCTACAGGCCTGTTCAGACAGCATATACCGTAAAGTCCGGTGCAAACGCCCACCCCATTTTTGCAAGATCTGCTGGCCTGTACACACTGACCCCATGTAATGTCACCTCTACTGTACGAAAGTGCGTCTCATACCGTAGCGGGAAGAGCGCTTTGCTATGGTAAACTATGTCCACTTTCCTGGTTTCAAAATCTCTTTGGGCACTAGCTACGAGCTAGCTCGTAGTGATTTTATGATGATGGTTGCTTTATTTCGCAAATCCAAACGGGAGTTTCTTCCGAATAACAAGGTAGCGATGAACAGAGTATTGCAGGAACCAAATACACTTCTGATCATTTCCAAATCACGCAACGCTCAAAGGCAAGGGTTTTTCTCGAGCACTTCAGAGTTTTCAACAAGTATTAGTTAGCAGTGACTTTGTAGGTGTCGCTTGTACTAGCTTCTGTGACATACCCTGTTCAACTTGCAACTGCAATACTGCGAACGGTCAAGTCGTTGAATGACACTTCGTCAGAACAATCACTGTTCCGTGCTGCAAATGCCACATTGTGGCACTGCAGAAATTTCATGAAAACCAGATGGATTCTACGGCATTACTACATGGAGAGCGACCTACCACAAAGACGACTCATTTATCGAAGGAAAGGAAATCTCGACATAAGTTTTTCTTTGCAGCAAGATGATGACAATCGCTTTTGCAGAGCCTCCTGGTAAGACATAGGCAGTTTGTAGGCATTACAGCTGTTTTCGTACGCATTCGATCTTCATGCCAGTTTTCTACCACTATATTGACCTGAAAAAGACGAAAATAGTATGGACTCGCTGGGGTGCGCGTTGGCAGCGAAGTGGGCGTTTGCAGCGGACTTTACGGTATTCCACAGGCCTGTTCAGACAGCATATATTCCACAGGCCTGTTCAGACAGCAAAATTATTCCATAGGCCTAGCACGGACAATAGCAACTGATGGCAAAGAGTCGGGTGCTCTACGCCTAAATCCAATACATGATTACTGCAATCCGGATTCTAAGACGTTACGTAGCTCATGAGATAATCGTCGAGCCTATGGATAAGTGAAGTAGCACCTGTTCAGCGTGACTGTGATTTAGAATCTTGGAGTAGCTAACACCCCAGAAAGTGCAACCCCAGTCTAACGGGCCTGGAACTGCATAACTTCACATCACATCACCAACCCGTACACATCATCCGCACCCTGCGCAGAACAGCCCCGGTGTGGTACTCAAGATTACCTTGGGCACAACAGCAGTCTACTACCGCTTGCAACTGAGCCTCCAGTAACCAGTAACACAGAATCCTGCGGCCATGTCCCCCCCCCCCCCCTTGGCCCCAGCACACACAAATCTACTCATTGCTACAACTCACCGTCAGCATGCGGCTGGTCGACCAGCGAAACCGTCACGCCACTGTGCACTCCGACGAAGAAATGGACATCTGCCGTGATCGGCTCCGGGAAAACAAACGTATCGGAATCGTTGGCAGAATGCCGCTGCAGCCTCAGCCTTCGGTCTCCGGTCAATTCTATCGACAGCGTATCACGAACTTGTAGCTTCTTGACAAGCCCATTTTCAATCTGGGGGCTCTGAAGGCAAAGCATAACATCAGATATGTAGACAGGCACACGCAGTACAAATCTTTGAAGAGTAAGTAGGGCTGAAACGATTATATCGATTACTCGTTACTTACTCGATAAGAAATAGATCGAGCGGTTATTTCGATTTTATCAGCTAAACGAGTAGACTGGTACTTGCGCTCGGTAAGGGATTTTCCCCCATTTGGGGGTCGCACAAAGCGTGCATGCACCGAAAGTGTTGCGAGTAGATCTACGACATGAATATGTGCATGACTGAGTCTGTACACTTGCTACATATTGATGTACATGTAAAAGTACAAGCGCGATCGGAGAAAAGTCGACGCGATCACCGTCGCCCTCTTTTGAGCTGACTACTTTATTTACATACAGCATGCAAGACTGGCGGGCTCAGTATGTGTCTACACTATAGCTGCAAGGGCTGGAGTTCCCTCCACGTGTGAGTAGTCTTGGGCTAAAGACAGTAAAGTGGTCTTCAGTTTCATGTTTTTCGTTCTGTGGACGGTTCCGAACCAGTTTGCTCGACGACGAGCTAGGCCTGGCATCTGGGCCTATTTTGAGCATAGACAGGAAAAGCAACTACCGTATTTTCCCCAATAAATGTACAGAACTTTTATTTTTTCAAAGGTGGTCAGACCTGCACTACTATAGGAGACTGTACTAGTATTGGAGACGTGTACTTTTATTGTTTCTGGGAAGATTGATTGCCTGGGTTGGGTGGCAAACAACTTGTGATAATGATGCTGTAAGGCTGTAAATAGTACTAAATACACCCAACCATGGTAAGAATCAGTGTACAAAGACACAATGACGATGAACGGGTAAGAAAAACGAAGTAAGGTGGACCCTGGTATTTGTACCCCACTAATTCCCATCACATCATTCCGACATGTACTATTATTAGAGACGTGTCCTTTTATATTTTCGATCCACACCCAACATGTACTACAATTGCGGACGTACTAGTAATGGAGACGTGTACGTTTAATGGGGAAAATACGGTATGTAGTTACTTGCTGGCGCGCCTCAAGTCAGCTCATCCGTCGAAATCCGCCCATCTGCTCCCCTGGCCGGCTTCTCTGACTTCATCGTCGGAGTCAGCGAAGTCACAGGCGAAGGGCACCATCAGCTCAACCAGTGCGTCGCCTGTCTTCTCTGTATTCGTCTGGTCAGTCCGAACAGCTGACGGACTTGTTGCGGGATCATCAGATCTATGCACCCGCTTTCCGTCGGTCGTTGGCGATGTTGGACTCGTAACATTTTCGAAATTCACAGAATGTACATGACTGTACTGATGTGTCATGTAGTTAAAATAGTAATCGTTTAGCCGATAAGCCGATCGTTATGGTATCAGCTAAGCCACTAAGGAAAAACGTAATCGTTTCAGCACTAAGAGTAGGGAAGTACTGAACCGTCAGACCTCGCTTATCCGGTTCTCTTTAATCTGGATCCCTCACCATCCGGAAGAAAATCGTTGGTTACCGATTTACAGCATTATGTCATGCATACATGCAGTATGTGTGTTCGATTATCCAGTTCCCTCGTCTATCCGGATATTCTCGTGGAAAACGGATGTGTGCGGTTAAGCGATCGAGGTCTGACTGTATTCTGTGGGGCATATAACTTGGTGATACATGTAGAGTCGACTCCTGATATAACGAACACCGTTGTGCAGGAGAATTAGTTCTTTATAGCCGAAGTTCGTTATAACAGATATCTCCTGATATAACAAACACCGTTGTACAGGAGAATTAGTTCTTTATAATAACCAAAGTCCGTTATAACAGATATGCACTTACACCATACAAGCAGCAAGGCATGACTGACAAGTGGTCCATGACAGTATGAAGGTGTTTTAAGTTTACACGCGGCCCTACAAGGTTCGTCATAAACGAAAACGGTTCGCTATAGAGGGTCAATTTCGTATGGGTTCAAACAGGGGCATGGACAAGGGTTCGCTATTTTATTACGAAATTTGCTATAATGCGAGTTCGTTTTATTAGGGGCCATCCGTAAATATAGATATTTATTTAGAAACGAAAACTAGCCGTTTAGAGGGGAGGGGGCTGAGCGCCTGTTCGTTTCTCGAAAAATATCGATGTACATTTGGCATGAGTGAGCATGTTCAGAAAAAAGATCAAAAATATCGATACTATGTACCATTTGTATGTGTTCGTTTCTGAGGGAGGGGAGGGGGGGGGGGGGGGGGGGAGTTGAAGAGAAACGACTAGTTTTCGTTTCTACATAAATATCGGTATTTACGGAAGGCCCCTAAGTGGAGTCGACTGTACGAATATTTCTCGAAAATCAGCCAGACATCCGAACTGCGGAATCAGCATTAAATATGAACTCTTGTTTTAAAAAGCCAATACAAACATGATGTGATGTTGCACATCCCAAGAGGAGGGGGGGGGGGGGGGGCTCAATAACTCCTGTTGAGACATCCGAAGTCCCATATCTTCACACTTGTGCTCAACTTTGAACTGTTGAGTGGGAGAGCTTGTATAGCCACGCACAAATACGTCTTGGTAACTCAAATATGGAGGGGTTCCGGTTCACGGAACGACATTGCACTTGTTACTTGAAAGGATTAGGTGACTTGAAAAGGAGTGTCACCAGAAAACATTATTTGAGACAAGTGAAGCATGCGAAAGGGGAAAAGGCAGCAAAAAAGGAGCCACAGGCTCGCTGCGCATGCTCTGGCCTGAGAGCTGCAAAACGGTGCATGCGATGCGTGCAGCAAGACATCAGCATGACGTCAACATGATGTAACACATAAACAAATAAAGACATAATAATGAGCGTAACGCAGATTCGTGATGCATATTCACGACAACACTAACAAGCGGATGACAAGGTAAGTCAGGGAAGATGATTACTGGGGGAAGCTACAAGGAGAGACAGGGAGACGAGAGACTACATGATGAAGGCGAGCGAGCGAGAGAAAGAAAAAGAGGGAGGGAGAGAGGGAGAGAGAGAGAGAGTTGCTTGAAAAGGGGCCTGAGTACCTATGGCAAAAATGGGCACGCAAGCAGCTACCCAGGCCAACGGAACAAAGGGGTCATAAATTGAGGAACGGGAGGAGCTACCGGGAGCGGGGGAAAGAATGTGTGTGTGTGTGTGGGGGGGGGGGGGGTGGTACAGGAGATGGAGACCTAAAATTCCTGTATCGGAATATACTCGTACGTTAACATTAACAGCGTATTGTAACCGCCCTCATCGACAACCTGAATATTGCGTACAGCGAGCTGTGATGTAGCTATACTATACTGTACTTAGCTCACGTGGGCCAATTGCAACTTTCCGTAGCACAGAACAACTTTACTCTAATTTCAGATATTTTAGGTGCTCAATATTTTTGGTATGAGGACAACAGTCCAGGCTAGGTGAACAGAAATGTTAGGTACAGAGAAGCAGTTCCCTATTGGATTATGTGTGGTAGTGTTTTTTTCAGTGTATTCAAATCTTAGGTATGAAACAGACGCACCGAAAGTACCGAAAACTTGATAAATGTACACCGAAAAATTGTGAAATTACAGTATGCCAGAGCACCGGCTCTACCAGCAAGCCCGTAGCAATTGGTATTTTCACGCAGACACACACCCGCAACTCACCGGGGTACCGTTGACAAAAGTCGTGGTGGCGGTCACGCTCCACACACCTTTCACGTGGCTATTGATGTTGCCATTCCTGACATGTTTGTCCTCCAGCAGCTGGCTGTCAATAGCTCCGACTTCCTGCAGTGTACACGCGCAGCACGCCGGACAGGCAAGTAGCACGTGTGCTGTGAGTTTGGCGCTGACAGGATACAGTCAGCATACATGTGAACACCCTCGCACATATACATGACCTCATATCGAATTAAACGAGCCTTCCTGTCCCAAGACAGCAAATGACACGGGGAGCCTAGTCATCTATCACTGGACATTGCAGTGATGAGAGTGGATCCAACTTGACTGAGATGTTATTACAGAGCATCAGCAAGTCGAATTTTCGAGTGAAATTCGAGAATCGTCACGACAGGTACTCAAAAAGTCGAAACTACCGGTAGGGCTTCGTTCGACTGCAAAAGGCCTGCGAACAGACAATCGGCTTCAAATGCAGCTCGCATGGTCCATACACGAGCAGTGGTATTTTAGGGTTTTACGTCGGGCCCTAGACGACGGCTACTTTGGCCAACCGGACAACAAAGAAGTTGAGACCAAAGAGAATGATTTTATTTCCTGCGCATGCGTATGTAAAATGACGTAACACTCAGTGAGTCAGGTCCCTACAGTACTCCCCCCCCCCCCTTCCCCGTTGGGGAGGAGCGAAGCACGATAAACAGGAAAAAAGGAGAGAGAAGAGAAAGGAAGCGCAGCATGTACAAGGCGGAAAGAGAAAAATTATGATACAATATGTACAAGCGAGAGCGCTGCGTATATGAAATTTGTTTGTGACGTGGCAACAAAAGCCGAAACAAAAGTCAAAATGCAGAAAGCGGAAAAGAGAGAGAGGCATGACAGAGGCGGGTTAACATTTCAGAGGTGTGTTAACGTGACAGAGGTGGAGAGCATGTCAGAGGCAGAAAGAAAGAAAAGAGGAAACGTACGCATGACAGAGGAGTGTTATCGTGTCAGAGGCGGCTGCATGTTGCAGGCTTTGCGGGGTACCAGCAGGAGCGCTGCACTGGGCGACGCGTGCCGAGTGAGGTGGGGACGGATGGAGGCGAGCGCAGCTCCACGGAGTCCAGTGCCGGGCGTGTGTGTGCGTGCATAGTTGAGCTGGTACGGATGGTGGAGGTGGCCAATTTCCAGCTTGAGGCCAGGACGAAGACAGACGAATACGGATGACTGGACAGCGTGCCGTGGCAGGATAGCGGGGTATCCAGGTGGGCGGGGAGGGTGGCAGGGGCCACAGCAGCTCCGAGGTGGATCCAGTGACGAGTGGTGGTGAGGCTCAAGTTTTACGTCAACAGCCGGCGATTGACGGGATTCCGAGAGCGGGGCGGGCAGGAAACTGCGGCCAGAGCTCAGAGATGCCATGATGAAAACTCCGAAGAGCGCTGCGTCTGGGGTCACCGATTTAGGGTTTTACGTCGGGCCCTAGACGACGGCTACTTTGGCCAACCGGACAACAAAGCAGTTGAGACCAAAGAGAATGATTTTATTTCCGGCGCGTGCGTATGTAGAATACTCAGTGGGTCAGGTCGCTACAGTATTGCACAGAGCTCCAGTGCAATGTCACTATGGAGCGGTACTGTCTTGCATGCAAAGACTCCAGTACATGTAGCAGTTATTGTAACACACCGCGCAGCCGTTACCTAGCCAAGGTAGCCACCAACTAATGCTACATTTCTGGCAGAGCCTTGCTCGAGCGAAAACAGCTGATGACAGTCTTTTCATTGAGATCAGCCGAAGAGATACGATCGCCAATGGCCTGAACCGGATGGAGCATCCGTCACTTCGCGTCATCCTCAAAGGCCACAAGACACAGCAGCAACTCCGTTCTGCCCAGCCTGGTGACCTTTAGCAAAGAGGAGGAATGAGTCCAACAAATCGACTTGCTATGCTGCTATAATCAAGAGTTACGTACTCTGGCCAAAAACCACAGTGCATCTCAAAGTGTTTCCTTCTCAAGCTCGAAAAGAACTCAAGCGGTGGAGTCCAAAATTGCTGCTGCATGCTGACCCGCTTTTTCATTCCAATGTTCGCACCGTCTTTCATTTTGACACGCGCGTTATCGAACCGAAAACTCGATTTGCTGATGCTCCGTATTGTTTATTTTTCATAATTTGCTTCTGATGCAAACATTTTCGAGCCATATTTTAGGCTGAACAATCGCCACTGGAACGCAAAACTCAGGCCGCAAAGTGGATGAACTCTTACATGCAAACCCTCCGGATTTTCTTGGATAATCCAGGAAAACTCGCTTACATTCCTGTATACCGGAAAGTTATAAATCTACCGGATTTTCCAAAAATTGTCCGGCAGCACCTTTCGCGTACTGTTTGCGAATGTTTGTTGGTCATGATGACGTCACCACGATGTCATGTAATACAACATTTTGCACACTAATGTCAAATCAAGAAAAATGAGCGGCATCAAGGGAAACCCCATAATTATGCCGCAGATCAAGTACGTCATGACGAAAAATGGAAGAGGGAGCGGGTTTATACCAGACTCGGGAATGTAACGCGCAGTGGCCACCAGGCTGTTAGCAGTGAACAAACACCAGGTCAATCTATTTCCGCTCGCCACTCAGCGACTGATCGCACACTACAGTACGAGCAGCGCGACGGCCCGGATCACTACACCGACTCCGTAGTCTACCCAATGCTGCTGACTACAGCTATATCGGAAAACCAGTCCTTTGTTTGGCCGATCTTTTCCCCTCTTCTCTTCTTGCAGTGCACGTTCCACTCCTGGCACAGCCACTCATAACATGGAAATTAAATAGTATCACTCCAAGATAGGATATAATTCGCTCTCCTCGCAAGCCACATCGCTTTGGAAGGCTCTACTAGCTAGTTATAAAACATGCATCGTAGTGTTGCTTCCGATTTTGCCGCTCAGCTTTCACAGGTTCTAAACGATTCCAACCAATTGTCTCTTTTCTCGCCCCTTCTGTTCAACAGTATTAAGTTTTTAGTTTCCCGATGACTGTAACTTTCGCCTGTGTTCATGCTTTGCCAGCTAGTTTTTATTATAAGCCACGTTTCTTGCAGTAACGGTCGGCTTTTGACAAAATGCTCCACCTTCTTTTTTTTCTCCCTCACTCCCTTTTCGATAACCCTCAGTTATTTTTGTTTCCTGTTCGACCCTCTTCCTTAGTTGTACATTGTACTGTTGAGGCAACGAACTGAACTGTATCAAAACAAACAAAAATTAAACGGTCATGAAGGTGCGGTAGCTGCGGGACACTGGCGTGCAGTAGAGAGTGTCTTCACATCCATCACATGACCGTACAGAACAGCCATGTTGATTCCAACTCTCTCCACTCAGCATCTATGGGTCACATCATGTCGGCCATGTTGGTTCCACTGTCCAAATAATTCCATAATCACTTTCTTCACAAATAAATTTATTCACGTGACAAATAATATGTGAAACCACTCTATCCCACCGCACATTGCAGCATTGTGAGAATCCACACCTTATCTTGATAGACAAGATGGCGGACCTGCCCCGCATCACGATAAAAATGCGTCGCGGGCACAGACGAAGTCACACGCCAAAGCAAAAAAAAACTTCAGAAAGCAAAAAAGAAAATCAACCATTGAACCCTCGCTGCGCGGGACTTACGATGATGCATGGTCCAGCTCCGCCCTGAGCATTGTGACGGATGTTCATATGCACGTTGTCCCCAGGGCTCATTGGCGTCGCGTTGATCGCGATTCCTCCTAGCTGCAGCTCCTGCTCCTCCTCCGCGTCCTGCTCCTCCTCCATGGCGACCCCCTCCTCGTCCTGCTCCATGATGACCGCCTCCGCGCCCTCCTCCTGCGACCAACTCTAAGACAGCCAGGCTGCAAAGCGTGTCTCCAGGCCCAGGGTAACCACTGGTAACAGGGGCCTGAGTGAGGGGCCTGGGCGATCGATTTACTTGAGAGAAGACACTAATCAGGATCAACGTAGTCGTTACGTGCTACTACTACTAGTACTTGCACGTTCCGAGCGCGCAGATAAAACAATACCCGTGCCAAGCAGCGGCCGGCAGGGCAAGAAGTGGGACTTTCTCCAGCACAACGCTCTTCTTTTTTCCGGATTCGGTAGCCGAGGGAGCTCGGCGTGCTTTCCCCTGCTTGCAGTTGCACTGCACTGAGAATCCCTGCGATCCAAACGGGCGCACGCACTGCACTGCAGGAGTACTACTGGTCTGCTAGCTAGCTGTGTAGCCGGCTAGCCTGGGTGAGTAGGTCTACACGCGACACGGCCGGTGCAAGCGCAGCGGGCCGCGGGCACGACTCGCGAGCTAATCTGAATAGACCCTTTGCACAATACTACTACTATAGTGTACTAGTAGTAAGCGAGAGGGGTCGAGACGGGGCATGCTGTGCACGCGCTGCACACTTGGCATGCAACCAGCATGCATGGTTTGCTGCCGGACGTGATCAAGTTTCCTGTGACAGGCTGTGTTTTCACGGTCCAGACGCGATGTTCATGTATGTACTTCCCAGCCTTTTTCATTTGAAGTTTTTTAGTTCTGAAGGAAGAAGTACCGAAATGCTTTCCAAGGACCACTGTTGGGTTCTTGTTTGCAGCAACCGTCATCCCTAGTGGCTAGTCTAAGAAACCCACTTGTCTTTCCATGCATTCCCTGGTTATGCTGGCATTCCACACTCTTGAATCCTCGCTATCTGGCGAGAAGAGGGCCGCAGTTTGCTGCGACATCGTTCACAGTGTTGTGCTCGGAACACTTTGTCGATGACGACTTTCATCCTTGCTTTTGCGAAGACGCTGAACGCCCTGCCAAGAGACTCTGGAGCCTGAGAAAAAGGCATGACCCATCCCTGTCTTTGCAAGGAAGATCGACTGCTTGCTGGCGCTGCTCGAGCTGCTGATGTTGAAGTGCTGAGCAACGCAGCCTCATCGCTCAGCCTCAGGTGTGCGGAGAAAGTCATCTGAGTTCGAGCTGTGGCTGTGTGCACGATATGACAGACTTTCACATTATGCACATAGCCACCAAAGTAAAACTCATGGACACTATCCACGGGCTACTTCACTAGTACTACTCCATCAGCTCCCTCTTCACTGATCACTGTCGTCGGCGACTTGCCCCTGCGTTGGAGATGAGCACTCACTCTGGGAAACAGAAGTTCATCTCTCATCCACTCGGACGCATGACAAAGTTGGGCATGATGAAGGTACACTCGAGGAAGATTGGTGCCCATCTTAGTTCTAGGAGCATCAGGGTTCTGCATAGAGAAGCGTTCTCTACATCGACAGAGGAGAGAAGGTAGAGAAAATAAAAATAAATTTCAATCTACAGTAATCCGAAATATCCACTGACTGCGGAAAACTTACCGCTCCAATAACTCCTTCTTTTTCCAGACAGATACGCACCCTCATTCAGCAGAAAACTGTTCAGTTCCTTCCCAGACCATTCTTTATTTGACAGCTCCTCCACGGGTTCCACAGCCATCGATGGCAAACCACTCGACACTCTCTCCTCCATCTCCAAAATGGAAAAATACAGTGTTTCACCATGCTCAACAACTGATACTCTGCACAAAAATCGAAGAGGATGCCCCGTCTCGGATCACGTGACCGTTATTGTGCAAAGGGTCTATTCTGATAATTATTATGATCAGGTATAGAATATATAGAAATATATAATTATGATCAGGACAGTGACTGGTATAGAAATAGGTATAGAATCAATTTATTACGTCATGGGCAATGCTGACGCGCACGCGCACGAAGGGGAAAACCATCTCATACATCAGTACATGTCACGTGTAGCCATGATGACTGTCTGGACATGCAGTCTGCGGACAGAGGTTGTACTTGTATGACCGTTATACACTACTATAATAGGGCTTGAAAGTGCTACGTCACAGCATAGCAACAATTTCAAAAATTCAAAAACTGGATCCGCTTGGATCCAGTTTTTGTATGGATCCAAGCACATTTTAAGCGGTCTTACCCACAGCATGGTGATGTAGCCAGTGAAACTGACTGATTTGGCTACTGGGGGCGGGGTTACAACTGGTGGCGAAATAAAAGTCACACCTGCATGCGACATAAGTGGGTTGCTCAGGGAGTAGTAAAAATTACTACTCCCTGGTTGCTATGCACCCACATACTTAGGCAATAGCAAAGTCACACCTTAGTGGATCCAAAAATAGAAATCTGATGTCAACTTACTACTCCCTGGCCGTTAGGGCGCGCTCACACTGCGACCATGAGCACGCGTCCATGCGTCAGCAAAACGCAGAAACGTGGGAGTCGTGCTCACACTAGGCCTCGTACACGCGTAGACGTGAAGTTGTCACACAAACTTTACGAATTGCAGTTCGTATCCAAAAGAGTTCGTGCGTTTCCTAATAAAGTTGTGGCCCGTTTTGGATGTAATTTTTCGCATGTTGCATGTTGGAGGAAGTGCCTCGTGGCTCCTGGCTCGGATCGTATTCTTGATCGAGTCGGCGAAAATAATTCATTACAATCAGGTAGGTTTGGACTCTTGAGGGACTGCGGCTGACATCCAAGCGCTTTCGCTTTCCTGACCTCGTGGTCAGAGCAAGTGCCAGTGCAGTGGAAATTCCGGTAGTGGTTTCTTTCGTCTGTTGCCGAGATGAGAACTGTATTTTCCGGTGTAACTGAAATGTCTTGAGGTATGGCATTCTATCATCGCAGAAAAGTAGAGAAAGATGATTTCCGAAACCGAAAAGCCAGACCAAGCTGCCATCGTATTGAACGAGTACACTGTAGAAATTGGTCACTGACCCGATTACAACGAAGCAACTACAAAAACAAAAACAAAATCGACATCGTCCAAAAAGGGCAAAGAATGCATATATGGCGGTGCGTGCGTGCAGGACCACAACTACAAAATAATTAATTTTAAAAATGTGCAAATGTCGAGGTGACATCGACAACCGCCGATTTTCATGAATCAACACACCAGAATTTGAGAAATTGAACATACTTCAGGCCAGGTTGTACACAAATACGCTTCACGTCTACGATCATGTTGCCGCCAAGTCGTGGCACCCCCCCCCTCCGGGGGTCGCGGTCACGATTTGAAACGTGGCCGCGACGTTTTGGTCAAGTTCATGCCGTTGCCATGCAACTTGGCCGCATGGCGCATGGACGCTGGTTTTGGTCGCAGTGTGAGCGCGCCCTAATGCAAAGTCACACCTTAGTGGATCCAAAATAGAAATCTGATGTCAACTTAGTACTCCCTGGCCGTTTTTGACGTCATCACTTTCAAGCCCTGCACTGGACCTTCGTGGTGAAATTTCACTGCAGCGCTAGCTGTAGTTTGAACTGTTTTTCATGCTACAGCCAGTACAGCCAGTACAGGCAGCCTGTAGACGAGTTGTTGTAGGCAGCGAGGTGGTGTTAGTTCGGCCGTCTGCTGCTTCGTGTCGAAGTTTGTTTGGGTGCAGGCTGTGTAAGAATCTGTGTGTTAGCCAAAGGGTTTCATCGAAGTAACAGTTTCCTAGTGGCTCGGAGGCTCCATTCGACTGCTCCATACCATCACGACGTCGAGAACCGGTACAGCCTATCCGCCCACGCCGTTCAAAGTCGTGTCCAGGATTCAAGCAAACCGTGACTCCTGGCTGCAGGAGCGCTGGACGCCACTGGACGTTCATCGTCCCCGTTTGTCATGGTGTTCCAGTGATTCTGGGTAAGTGGTTGGCCAGTTTTGTTCTGTTCTTGGGTATTGTTGTTCGTTCTCGTTTCCTGAAGTGGCCGCAGTGCACCGGTAACCAAGGTAACGGGTATGCATGGCTCATGCTACTGTGATCGTCTCAACAACTAAATGACTATTTTGCTTGTGTACTGCGATTGCGAGTACATTCAGTGAATCACGGTGAATAGGTGAATAGGTGAATAGGTGTGGGTTCTCTTCACTCAGTACAGTCGAGTCGAGCGAGCTGTAGCTCCAGTCCCGATGCCGAGAGTCTGGCTCACTCCCCTACATGGCTTCTTCCCCTTGTCTAGCCTCCAAGAGGAACAAAGAAGTATGGTAGCCGACTGGCCGAAATAAGAAATAAATAAAGCATGGTTACACCCACTGGTCTTTTATTCGGGCACGTAATCACGGTCGTTTGCACCGAAGGGCGTCGGAAACTCAAAACACCATACAAGCTGTAGATCTACCATGTAAACCTTGTCAGTGTGTGATAATGCATGTACTGTAGCGGACATGGAAATCCAGTCGATTGACCGGGGCCGGCGCCCTCAGCGCGTACGCTGCGCTGCATCGCATACTAGTAATGCACGTTCCGCTTATCCACGGCTGCATGGCCAGCGCCCTGGGGCCACTAGACGTGCGACCGGATTTCCATGTCCACGACAGTACATGTACATGATATTAAAAGTCTTACCAGAACTCCGTCTACAGAGGAACGTTGACTACTGGTCAGAGTGTTTCTATGTATGGCGTGCGTGGAATATATGGACTGTAACTTTGAAGTATATGTACTAGTACAGTCGCGGCCAAAGAAATGCGACCCGCGAATCAAAAGCAGCTCCGCATTTCTATTTCAACATGCATGGTCGAATAACCCATCCGGGAGGGCCAGAGGGCTTAAAGGGGAAGTTAAGGCAAAAATTAAAATTTCACCAGTTGTAGTCTTCGGGGTGCTGAGTCGAATGGTCGTGGTCCGAGGAAGCTGAGACGCTCCCTTCCTACTTGAATCCCAATCGAACTCGCGCACTTCCACCGAAACTGGGTGACTGCGCCCTACTAGATGGGGATTTGTATGCAAAATGTCACTAAAAGCGCCATTTCGTTCTTATAAAAGCACGGATGACCGCGATTGGCCCATATGTTGTAGTCTTTTGGACGCTGAGTCGACTGGTTTTGGTCCGAAAAGGCTGCGATGCAGCGTTCCTCCTTTATTCCCAATCGAACATGGTTGAACAAGCGGTCACGTGCTCCTGGGTGCCCAAATCATCTGGTCACCACGCCAGCAGGCGACAACTTTCACACCAAGGTTCAACTCGAGTGACAGGACTGCACCCAAAAAAGGTCAAACAGGCTAGTAAGTTGTACCCTGCAGGCACGGTGACCAGGTGACTGGTGTACGCAGGAGCACGTGACCGCTTCTTCAACCATGTTCGATTGGGAATAAAGGAGGAACGCTGCATCGCAGCCTTTTCGGACCAAAACTAATCGACTCAGCGTCCAAAAGACTACAACATATGGGCCAATCGCGGTCATCCATGCTTTTATAAGAACGAAATGGCGCTTTTAGTGACATTTTGCATACAAATCCCCATCTAGTAGGGCGCAGTCACCCAGTTTCGGTGGAAGTGCGCGAGTTCGATTGGGATTCAAGTAGGAAGGGAGCGTCTCAGCTTCCTCGGACCACGACCATTCGACTCAGCACCCCGAAGACTACAACTGGTGAAATTTTAATTTTTGCCTTAACTTCCCCTTTAAGCCTTGGTGCTGCTTTCAGCTCCTGGTTCGGACTCCCCGATACACGTTGCAATGCAAAGGGAGTGGTGCTCCCTTGTAAATTTGCTGAGCGGAGGGCTCGAAATGCTTCTCGTACTCTGGACCTGCGTTCTCGACGTTGACAGCAGCCAACTTCCACAAGTTGACGTCACAATATGATGCAATGTGTGCGGATTATCAAACATATCCTTGACCTCAGCTAGTACACAATATCGCACGGAAGCACGTGTGAAGCGTTGACAAGCAGTACAAACGCCGTAAAATGACTCACTCTATAGGAGCATTGCATCAAAACAATGCCGTCAACTTGAAATTCTGTTGGGACAACACTGTATGCGTGAGCTGCCTACTCTTGGGGGTGATGCACTCTTGTCAATGCTCAGTGCACACTCTTGGAGCCTTGCCTCCACTGAAACAAAAGTGTGAAGTGCTTTTTGAATTTTAGGGTTTCTTTGGAATTTGCAGGCAGGCATAGTGGGATGGTCTAAGACCATGATTGAGAAACAGAGGGTTCCAGGTTCAAGTCCTGCTTGGAAGTCTGATCTACTCACCTCCCACCGCTTAGGAACTGCATCTGCGCCTTGATCCAAGAGGGTGGTGGCGTTCCTGCGGATACGGAAAACCGGGCCTTTGGCCGAGTCTCACGCGAACCGTGAATTTATTTTATTTTATGAATCTGCACTCGCTGAAAACATTCTGAAGAATGTTATCCATTTCTACAACACTCATGATGTGCCGCGTCTATTTTGGTGTGGTTTGTTATTTGTACATGTACAACAGATGGTGACCGACGTCCGTGACTTTTTTTGTTGTCGCAGTCATGGCTGCAGCAGAGGTATGAATTGTCCACACGTCATTGCTTTGCCAAATTCTGAAAATGTTGTCTCAAAGACATCTTACAATGTGCACACACATACACACATGTTTGCATGCGCACGCACACTCGCAATCACACGCGCGTGCACACACACACACATATACACACACACACACACACACACACACACACACACACACACAAACAAACATACATACACATGCATGTGCATACACACACCTGTACACGCACACACACATACCTACACACACACGCATGCACACACACACACACACACACACACACACACACTTGTACTTGTACTTGTTGCTCACTGCCAAAACTGGTCACGTGGGTCTCCCCGGGAGAGGGGAGAGAGACTCAAAAAGGAATCTTGGAAAGATGACTCAATTGGCTATTGAACCGCCCAACGGCCGACACCCCCTGAAATCCCCAAAACTCTGGGTGGACTTGAAAATGATCCCACTTATGGGCTCACCACACCTCAGTAAGTGGGTGAGGACAAGGTGCAGAAAAAGGATTGACGGCATCAGGGTATCCGTCCTGGGATCCAACTGCAGTTACCCCTGCCCCCAGTGAAGGTAATACGTGCTACTAGTGTGGGTGACTAAATCAGAGTGGATCTGATATTAGCTTCACTAGCACCATTGATTACACAAGAGTTAATCTAGCCAGAAGCAGTCCATGGTTAACAGGTACGTATACTTCAAATAGAAAGTATATGAACCCTGGAACCAACAAAGGTGGCACACACACACACACACACACACACACACACACGTGCACACACACACACACACACACACACACACACACATGTACCCGCTCCATGCTATCATTGGCCGGTTAAAACTTGTGCCAATACGTGTCACTGAAAGGGCAATGTGGTATTATTGATTATCTTCAGTGAACAGTAACGCTTCAATGTGGCCTACCTCAGCGAACCAGGCCCCTGAAATGGCAGTGGCCAAACGCAAGCAATAAGCCCATACACATATATCTGCAGTTAGCCAGGGCTGTCTCGTCCCCCGATGAACACTTGATCAACACAGCACAGATCTCTGGCAGTGCTAAAAACAAAAACAAACAAAAAACAGAACTTGCATGGCAACAAGTATGCTGCTAAGTACTGGTCGTAGCCAGGGAGTTGTAAAATACCGGTATTTTACGACTCCCTGGTCGTACCTTACTGGCAGCTTCTGTGATTCTCAGCTCATGGTATGCTAGCCCTTGGCAGATACTGCTGGCAGAATTTTTGTCTTCAGAATTTGGTACTTTTTCTGGACGCTTTCATGCATGTTTGGTATGTGGATAAAGAAATGGAGCAGAATTCAAGGCAAGGTGAAGTGCCTGCCATAAGTTTTGTATGGTTTTGCCAATTTCACTGCTTTTCAAGCAGAATCTGCCAATTTTTTTGAGCATTATCCGCCAAGGTCTACTGTATGCACTCTGTATGTTGTTATTGCAGAACCACGCGGTCAACTCATGGCCATGGTCAAGCCAGATGTTCCGCAAGTGGATCCCACGCCTCCAAGCAGCGCTCAGCTGCGATGCAATTCGTGTGGAATGCTGTGCCAAGCGGTTGATCTCCGATGCGCAGAAGAAGGAATTGATGGCGATAAAAGATTCGGCCAAACACAATGACAGACTGCTAGATATGCTGAGCGGGGTACAGCTGAGGCTTTCCACACTTTCTGTAGTATAGTGCGTAGCACTGAACCTGAAGCAAACTTTTCAAAGTTCCTAGATGACATGCAGTCAGTGGATACCTTTGTTGGAGGTAAGTAGAATTGTTATCAGTCAGGTGACTGAGAGATACTCACAGAATTGTACATAGGGGGTGTAGCTCGACCATCTGTGGTGTAGTGACCATGTACCACCGGCAACCTCATAGCCGCCATTTTGCCTGTTAAGACTATGTAGTAGCTATGACGACCATTTTCTGGTGTACTGACCGGACTATGCTGACTATAGAGGAGCTACACACCTGCCTGTACATGTACAGACAATACTGCATGTCCTTGAGTTGCTTTACTACATATCTGTACAGTGCATATTGATGGCACCAACCTTTCGTTGAAGTTTTGCAAAGGTGCTTGTCACGGTGTGTGTGTGTGTGTGTGTGTGTGTGTGTGTGTGTGTGTGTGTGTGTTTGTATGTGTGTGTGTATATATGTGTGTGTGTGTGTGTGCATGCAAGGAGGCAGGTATTTTGTGAGGCTGTGAAATGATTCGGCTATTTACTGTTCTCTGTGTCCTCTCTAACACAGGCAATGAAGATGCAGCAAATAGGGTAACTCGACATCAACCAGCCCGGTTCACCGGGAACCCACCACATTCACCCAGCCAAGCAACTCCGTCTCCGCCAGCCACAGCACCCAAACCAAAGCCTGTTGTTAAACCCCGGGCATCTCCCCCCAAGCTCACTAGCGTCTCTGCAAAGATAGCGGCCGTCAATTCAGCTGGTCAGGAACGGAAATCGGCTGGAAGTCTACCTTCAAAACCTAGTCGGACCCCCCAGCCTCCTACTCGCCCAAAGCCCGCCACTCCCCACAACACAGCAAGAACAGTGGAAACTAAGGATCCCACTACAGGTCACAGAGTGCAGCCGGTAGTGACTTCTGATCCTGTGTCTCCTCCACGACCACCGCTCTGTGACCGCGTACGACTAGCGGCTGGCGGAAACCAATCAATGGGCACTCAGGCGGCGACAACTGCCCCAGCTGATCCCAAGCCCTCTACGAAACCTAGACAAGCTGCTCCTTTCAGGTCTGCTAGTGTCTCTACACACTCGCGGGTTCAGTAGGGGTAGGTTGCACTTTTTGAAGCTCCCGTAAATCTTTCTTGGTAGAGCCCAGCCGGCATCAGGCCGGACTGGAGGTAGTTTCCGTAGGGTAGCAGTAAGTTTTTTTAGTAGTGCTCGTAGAAATTGGTGACCTCCGCCATGCCTGGGGCCACCACGAGAACAAACACTCGCGCGACTGCCCTGAGTGATGAAGAGCTGAGGCTGATGGCGTCGTTGCCGGGCATTGAGGTATCTGTAGTAGAAATCCTGAAAACATTGGCCGCATTTGTCTCGGAATCGGCTGATCGGGAGACGCGCCTAAACAAACGGGTTGACGAGCTGTCAAGGCAGCTCAAAGATGTGAATGAAGAGTTAGTGTCTCTCCGAGAATCCGCCATTGCCTTGCGAAAAGCTACCCCAAGGCCAGTTCAAACACAGCAGGGTACGGGTGCGGATCAACCTTCGCGTAGGCGTACCAAAGCTGGCAGTGCGGGTACAGGTACTCGAAAGCATGACACCACGATGTCCCGTAGCGTCCCCAGCAACATTTCCCGTAGCGGTGACGAGTGTGAAGAGGATGGCAGCGTCCCCTGCAACATCTCCCGTAGCAGTGACGAGTGTGAAGGGGATGGCGACCAAGATGCCATCCCCACCAAGTCCCAGACAGATGTGACAGAATCCAAGCCAATCTTCCATGTTATTGAGGATGACTCATGGAAGCTTGTCTCCTCAGAACGACCCAAAAACAAGCGTGCTGTGGTGTATGTGGGCAATATCGCCACAGATAGCACTGAGAGCCACTTCAGGCAATTTATCAAAACCAGGAGTGAGTTTCTGGGCGCCTCCATTCCTGTCCACACCTGCAGTATATGGCTGTCAGAAAGTGGGCGTGCTTCCGCAAGAGTGACCATCGATGCCACTTCACTCTCCACAGTGACAGCGCCCAACTTCTGGCCAAGGCCCGTATACTGCAGGCCATGGAGGTTCTTAGAAACCAGCTCTGAGGGCAGCACCAGCAGTCGCAGCCACAGCAGCAGAAACAGCACCTCTGCTGCCAGTGTTCTGACTAAACAGCAACAACAGCAGCCGGGTTCAACGTCCTCCTCCTCCCCGCCGCCACCACCACCGCCGCCACCACCACCGGCAGACTTCATCTCCACTCCACTACACAGTGGCCAAAAACGGAGAAACTCCCACCTCTCCCCACCAGAGGCTGGAGACCTGAAGAGATCAAACGGATCTGCGCCACAACATGACCAGCATGATGCGCAGCCACCCCAGCAGGATGCCCAGTCCTCTCACGCCCAATGATGGATTCCAGACCTCTGCGACTGCTAGTGACTAATGCATTCAGCCTGAGCAACAAGATAGGTGCCCTGCAGCATGCAATCCTGCAGTATAATGTAGACGTGGCAATAGTAACAGAAACGAAGCTCTGCTCAGATAATTCCTCCCATGAGTTGACCATCCCAGGATACTCACCCCCAATAAGGAAGGATCGAGATGCCCATGGTGGCGGTGTGGCAGTGTGGGCTAGGAGTGAACTATCCATTACCCACCACGACGATATAGATTGCCGTGATCACGAGCTCTTATGGATTTCCTTGGCAATGCACTCCGGAACAAAGACTGTTCTGGGTGCGCTCTACCGGCCTGGCTCTTGTGCAGAGACAGACACCAGCCTGATGGACTACCTAGACAACACTTTGGATGATGTCCGCCGTCTTGGCAGCAATGTTATAATTGCAGGGGACTTCAACGTGCATAATTCAGCCTGGCTACAGAGTAGCAAGACTACCCGAGCCGGTGAATGCCTGGAGGAAGTCTGCGCAGCACATCATCTTGTCCAGCATGTCACCCAGCCAACCCGCGGCAACAATACTCTCGATCTTATCATCTCCGATTTCCCACACCCCGTATGCACCACAGCCTATGCACCACTTGGACGATCTGATCATGCCGTTATCATTGCCGAGTTTCTCCAACAGCATCCACGACGCGAAGATCCTGCTGTTCGACAGGTTTGGAAATACGCCCTTGCTGACTGGCACCGCCTGAGAGCCTACCTCCGCAACATAGACTGGCCCACCAAGATCCATGGGTGTGCGGAGCAGTCCTGTCAGCGCGTAACTGATGTCATCATGCATGGAATGAAACAGTTCATACCATCCAAAGAGCTTGTGGTGCACCAATCCAACCCTGTATGGTGGACACCGGACTGTTCTAACGCCAATCATGCCAAGGAGCGGGCATGGAAGCTGTGGCGACGCAATCCCCGCAACGATAACCACAAGGTCCAGTACATCACAGCTGTTAACCACGAAGTGGAAGCGTGTCATGCAGCGCGATTAGCACATCAACGTAGAATTCGCAACAAGCTTACTGCAGGTTTCCTCCGGGACAAAGAGTGGTGGTCAACCATCAAGAGCGCAGCAGGCAAGGGACGTTGCTCTGACATCCCCCTGCTGACCAACCCTGCAGGACAAGAGTTCCACTCTTCTCGTGAGAAAGCCGAGTGCTTTGCAGCGCATTTTGCGAACAAGTGTAGCCTTGGCAATAACGACCTCTGTGCTGCTGACCTGCCTGACCTGCAACGACCTGCCTATGCCACGCTAAAGCACATTCACTTCCGCGCAGCAACGGTCAAACGGCACTTGGCGAACTTGGCTGTATCAAAAGCAACTGGACCGGATGGCATCTCTGCTCGTGTGCTCAAGATGTGCTCATCTGAACTTGCAGACCCACTGGCAAAGCTCTTCGCCCTCTGCTTCTTAGCCGGTGTGCAACCTGGGGCATGGAAACTTGCCCATGTAGTCCCAGTCCACAAACGGTCCTCCAGATCTTTGGCATCGAACTACCGACCAATATCACTGCTAACGATCATGTCGAAAGTCATGGAGGGCATTGTAAACACGCAACTGGTTAACTACCTAGAGAAGCATGAGGTGTTGCCAAACAGCCAGTTTGGATTCCGACGTGGTAGAGGAACCGCAGATATCTTAACGGCTCTCCAACATGAATGGGTCCACACCATAAGTACTGGCGGTTGTGTCCAGGTCCTCGCCGTGGATATTGCCGGTGCGTTTGACCGGGTATCGCACACAGGAGTGCTGTACAAAGCAAAGCAGGCCGGCGTCGACGGACGCCTGCTTGTATGGCTACAGGACTACCTCACCAACCGAAACATCCGCGTTGTGGTTGGAGGCCAGACGTCAGATGCTCAACCCATCCAGGCTGGTGTCCCCCAAGGCAGCATCCTAGGACCCAGCCTCTTCCTTCTATACACCTGTGACATTGAACAATGTTTAACTCCAGGGACGCAGCTGAGCAGCTTTGCAGACGACACCACACTCTACAGCTTAGTACAGCCAACTGACGATCTCCAACAGTCCACCGCCTCCCTCCAAGGGTCCCTCAACAGTCTTGAGGAGTGGGGCCGCAAGTGGCGTATCTGTTTTGAGCCAGCCAAGACACAGCGCATGACTCTACATCGCAAGCACGTTCCCCCCTGCACTCCACCAGTCACCTTTGGAGGTGAAGCACTCCAGGAGACAGATACCCTGAAGCTGCTGGGAGTCATGCTCGACCCTACTCTCTCCTACAGAGCGCACACTCGCAGTGTTGCACTGCGCGCCTCCCAAAGGCTGGGTTTCCTACGAAAGGCAGCACCCATCCTGGACGACCATGGTCGAGTGACGGTCTACAAGGGATTCGTGCGACCCCTACTTGAATATGCCCCACTGGCCTGGTCGAGCGCAGCCGCAACTAACATGGCCCAGCTGGACAAGGTTCAGCAACGTGCCCTGCATTTCCTGGGACCTGGAACCATCCTCCAAAGTCTTCAGCTTCGTCGGATGGTGGCAGCCCTGTCATACTTGTTCAAGCTGCACTACATTCCAGGGCCTCCCCAGGTAAAGGCCATGCTGCCACCAACCAAGCCCCCTGCCGTAGCTAGCATGTGCACACGGCAAAAACGTCAGACGCACCATGCCTTTCAGCTGAAGTGGACACCCCCTCGCACAGCCCCTGACTACCTCCTGCGATCCTTCCCCTTCTTCGCCATCACACCCTGGAACAACCTGCCTGCGGACCTCCTGCTTCACGAGCCTCATTCAAGACGCCTCCAAACCTTCAAGGTCAACGTATGTAAGGATCTAATCCGAAAGAGATGGCTGTGGTCCACACAGTACCTGTGACGATGATATTGAGATTTGAGACCCATTTAGTATTTACCTCTCTACTACTACTTGCTTGTTATGATTATTGTTCTCTCTCTTCATTTTCCCTTCTGGTTTAGTCATTACACGTATTTATATTATTTGGTGCAATACTAGCGCCCCTTTCTCGCACCAAATTATTATTTTTGTTACCTGACCATGCAACCCCCCCTTTTTTTCGATGCCAGGTTGCAACGCTAACGCCGAGACCCCTGGTCGGTCGAGTTGCTCCCTGTACATCGGCACGTCGTCCCTACATCCCCTGTGTCCTGTCTTGTGTTTGTCTCCACATGTCTCTTTGTAGGGCTGTGTTCCCAATAAAAAAAAAAAAAAAAAAAAACTAGCATCTGGTTTTGAATCGGATAGGTACGAAGCAGTCAGACTGCCCTCAGATCAAGCCCCAAAGCCCAAACCGCGCCAAATGGCCATCACTGGTGCCAGGGCAGCTAGCTTGGACAGGACCCCAGCAATAGCTGGTGGCAAACACCCAGGCGGACATGCTGTGCAGCATGTACAGCGGTCAAGCTTAGCTGCCAAGCCCATAGCTCCGTCTAGGACTGGACACGATTTGGTCCCCAAGAAGGCAGCAGGAGATTCCGCCACGCCTACCCAACCAAACTCTTTGGTAAGAGACATAATTATAAGTGACAGGAGTCACAGTGCGTTATGCTAGAGCTTATAATTATTGTAATGCAAAACTGAAGTCTGTAGAGAGTGGAGCCTACATCAGTCCACACTCGTTGTGTTTTTTAGAGGGGCGATCGGGATTGGGCACTGCCCGTAGCACCGAATCACCTGCGTTTTGATTGGGAGATGCCATAGAGATATGAAATGTGATCTTACTATTTCCAATAAAAGTAACAAAGGAGTAGTTTAACTCACCCGAAAGGGGGCCCGTAGACCGAACTTCAGTGCCGGGATAATTGAGGTATGACCGTATGAGTGTACAGTCCATGCAGTATCATGATTGTGATCAAGGTGACTCGTAGTACATAGAGAGATGGCACTGTGCATCGTAACACTGCATCTTGTGGGCTTCGAGCCTTGGCGATCCCTTACTGTTACCCTTGGGCCAAGTTATACACACTCGAATATGGCGTCCATATCTCAGCATTCACAACAAGGGACGGACGAAGTAGGTGGGGCTGACATTTACTAGGGAAGATGACAAGTGGAGAGATAGAGAGACGAACGACTTCATGATGAGGGCAAGAGAGGAAGAGGGAGGGCTAGAAAAAGAGCCCGGGTAAAAAAAAGAGTAAATTATCGTGCCCGTTCCCAAAGGGGATTCACGACGGCTGGTAACACCCGGTAAACCCTAGCGGCAAATGCAGCACCTAACGGTGGGGGTGAGTGGATAAGTCTCACAAACACTGGCACAAGTGTCGAGAAACCCCATTAGCCGCATCCAGGTACCCTTTGTGCCTTGCCACAAGTTCCTAGTTGACTGCATGTGGGTAGCAGCACGGCTAGAAAAACCGCTCCCAGGCAGGGCTTGAACCAGGTACCTCTCGTATCTCAATCATGGTCTTTGACCAACCCACTGATTGTGTTCGCTTACACGCATGAAACGATTCATAAATCCATTCTTGAATCGCCCCTAGCTATTCATATCACCCCATGTGCATAGGGTGAATGGATTCCGAATCGATTCCAGAGCTCATGACATGAAATCGAACGGCGATATTCCATTCATGGATCGATTCAAGTGCGTAATGAAACGAACCCACTGTGCCTGCCTGGGTAGCTATGGCAAATATGGGCGCGCAAGCAGCTACCCAGGCCAATGTAACAAATGGTGTCATAGATCTACGGGACGCAGGACAGCTGGGGAAAGGATGTACGGGGAATGTTTGGGAGATGAGGACCTAACACTTGTCTGGGCGCACGTGCGGTCAGCAAGTCAATGCCGTGACCCCTGCTACAATAGTGAGCGCATGTGACGGCAGTTGCATCAGCCTTCTACACTCATACCTCGTTTGTCCGGGCGGTCCGGGACTGGACACTACCCTTAACTTTGAACTGCCCGTAACTCCAAATCACATACATGTTGATGGGGAAAGACCATAGATATAGTATAATTGTGGTGTTACTATTTCTACTAAAAGTGACAAAAGGGTAGAAGAAGGGTCTCCACTGAAACTCTTTCAAAGGGTGCCCGGTAGACCGAAGTACCCGTAACTACGGGGTCCGGATAACCGACGTATGAGTGTATGTTTGCCCTTTTGAAGAGGTCAAGGCATTTCTTCATGATGATAATGCAGTTGAATTACTCACTGCTGCATTCGTAAGTGGTGAATATCACCAGTCTAATATTGAAGAGTGACATGAGATTGTGGTCCATTGGTAGTAAATTTTGTATGATGTGTTGTAGGACGAAGGGAGCTTCCTCGTACGAAGGGGATGGGATGTAGGACGCAGGGAGCTTCCTCGAACAAACCCCATTCAACTCGGCAGTCAGCAGAGAACAAGAAGTGAGATTTCGATGTTGGCCGCCGTATTTCCCCTTTATACTATAGAGCAAGGTGCTGAAAACTATTACCGTAGCAATCATCAGACGACTTGTTTGTCAACTTGTCTGATGATTGCTTCGGCATAAAACTTTGACTAAGAAAGTTGTAGACATCTCGCAACTGCATTTTTGAAGAAAAGGGGGGTTTGTCAACTGACAACCGCTCTATTCAGTTGCTTTTCACAATCTGTGCATGCGCTGCATTAAAAATTCTTTGTTGTGATGTTGGAAAATTATTGACGTTTCGGGCCAGTCACCCATCGTCAGAGAAATTTCCAAGGGGCGAACCTGGCCTTTTTTTAGCGAAAGCAAGCAAGAGCGTATGTATGTCCATGTACAAAAAAATAAACGAAACACACAATGAAACTTTGAGTCCAAATATTTTTCGACTTGGATCCTCTCTCTGCCATACGCAGAAGCTCTGCACCCTGCGCACAAAGTACTCTTTAGGCAGCGTGCCACACTTTTCCCTGCGCACAAAGTACTCTTTAGGCAGCGTGCCACACTTTTCCCTGCGCACAAAGTACTCTTTAGGCAGCGTGCCACACTTTTCCCTGCGCCCAAAGTACTCTTTAGGCAGCGTGCCACACTTTTCCCTGCGCCCAAAGTACTCTTTAGGCAGCGTGCCACACTTTTCCCTGCGCCCAAAGTACTCTTTAGGCAGCGTGCCACACTTTTCCCTGCGCCCAAAGTACTCTTTAGGCAGCGTGCCACACTTTTCCCTGCGCCCAAAGTACTCTTTAGGCAGCGTGCCACACTTTTCCCTGCGCCCAAAGTACTCTTTAGGCAGCGTGCCACACTTTTCCCTGCGCACAAAGTACTCTTTAGGCAGCGTGCCACACTTTTCCCTGCGCCCAAAGTACTCTTTAGGCAGCGTGCCACACTTTTCCCTGCGCACAAAGTACTCTTTAGGCAGCGTGCCACACTTTTCCCTGCGCACAAAGTACTCTTTAGGCAGCGTGCCACACTTTTCCCTGCGCACAAAGTACTCTTTAGGCAGCGTGCCACACTTTTCCCTGCGCACAAAGTACTCTTTAGGCAGCGTGCCACACTTTTCCCTGCGCCCAAAGTACTCTTTAGGCAGCGTGCCACACTTTTCCCTGCGCACAAAGTACTCTTTAGGCAGCGTGCCACACTTTTCCCTGCGCACAAAGTACTCTTTAGGCAGCGTGCCACACTTTTCCCTGCGCACAAAGTACTCTTTAGGCAGCGTGCCACACTTTTTCAAGGGTATTTTATAGTTTACACTGGACTTTCACTGCGTATTGAAACAAATCACACCAGTGAGAAAAGAGTTTTGCACGTCTGAAAGTGTAGTGTAGATGTTCTGCATTAACAAACTGCTTGCCGTAAATCACACATGCAGGTTTCTACCGGCTATTTCCTGCTAGTTTTCTTCTGCAGCGGAAGCGTGCTGGCTATTTGCCTACGGAGGCGGAATTGAACTGCCCGTGTGCCGGTCGGTTCCTTAATTTCATGCCCGTGTCGCTGTGTATATGTATGTTGACTTTGCAGAGCCAAGCGGGCAACACAGGGCCATGGTCAAGTCGAGTGTTCCGCAAGTGGATCCCACGCCTCCAAGCAACGCTCAGCTGCAGGACAATCCGCATGGAATGCCTGGGCAAAGATTTGATCTCCGATACGCAGAAGAAGCTATTGATGACAGTAGATGATTCTGCCAAACACAATGAGCTTCTCCTAGATATGCTTAGCAGGGGTACAGCTGAGACTTTCCACACTTTCTGTAGTATAGTGCGTAGAACCGAACCTGAAGCAAACTTTTCAAAGTTCCTAGATGACATGCAGTCAGTGGATACCTATGTTGGAGGTAAGTAGAAATTTTTATCAGTCAGGTGACTGAGAGACACTCACAGAATTGTATTGCATGTCCAGCAAGTACTGTTGGATACCATTAGTACTTGGGTGACAATCTGAGAAACGTCCATGTTTGGAAAAGAAGAAGTGAGGACCTTGGTGTTCCAGCCTCAACGCCACCTTGGGAAAGCCACTAAACTCCCCTGGCTTCAGCTGATTCTATTGTGAAATGTGGAACCTACCAGAAGTTGGGCAGGGGAAGTTGGGCAGGGGAAGTTGGGCAGAGGAAGGTGATGAAGCGGCGGTGTGTTGGGACGCATTGGGTTGGGATACGTTGGGGTGGGGAACAATAGGCATGGGCTCAGAGTGGGATGCAAGATGCCCACATCTCAGAAGGTTTTGGATTCCAAGGACCAACGGAGAGTCGGCCTTTCCCAGGATATCCAAACACCAGCGGCTGTACTGCGTAGCCGTGTCTTGTGGTGTTGTACATTCTGGCTGAAGAAGCTGCAGGTCTTAGCCATGCATGTTGACAGCTGAATATTTTGTCCTTCTACCGGTATGTTTGGTGGCGCATGCGTGTGTGGTCTTCAGTTTCTCCGGAATGCCAAAAAGACTGCAATAAAGTGGTAGACCTGATGAAAGAGTTCTCAGCACCGGAACGTCAACGGGTGGTCCACACTGCCGAGGATGTGGCACGAATGCGCACGTCACAGACAGTCCTTGACAAGAGAAAGAAACCCATCCACGTACCCCAGCCAACCTCGCCTAAGAGCGTAGACCTGATGAGGATGCAGAACATGGGAGAAGGTAGGCACGGGGCTAGTATCTACTGATGTCTTGTTTGAATTCGGATCTCGAGCCAAAGTTATCGTGGAAAAAGGATTTTTTTTATTCAATCTACACGTAGCTGTGGAAGCGGTTTTTCCAGCCATGCTGCTACCTAGTCTTCTGGGAACTTGTGGTCAGGCACAAGGGGTCCATGAATGCTGCTAATGGGGTTTCTCAGCACTTCTGCCAGTGGTTGTGAAACTTATCCACTCACCTCCACCATTATGCGGCGCATCTGCCGCTAGGGTTTACCGGGTGTTAGCGGCGTCGTGAGTTCCCTTCCAGAACGGACCCGATAATTTACTTTTTTTATTTACTTTTTACACGTAGCTGTATGTGCAATGTGCCATTGATTGCGTTCTCCCACTTGCAAACACTTAGAGTAGGTTTTGGTCTCTCATTGTTCTTGTATGTTGTAAGTACTTCATGTGCACTAAGCCATGGCTCACGTATAAACTGGAGTGGAAGGTGATTTTCTACCCTCTGCAATTTGCTGTCCACTAGAAATTTGCTTTCAGTTTTTATCACCCCGGTTCTGCTCTGATCCTTGAAGGGTGGTAAGGTTCCTACGGATGCGGAAAGCTCGGCCTTTAGCTGAGTCTCACCCGATACATGCAATTTTTATTTTCCTGCTTTGGTCTTCCTCAGAACAACGGCAAGCGACATTCACTGAAATCAACCACTTGTTGTCCAACACTATCATCATTGATGACGTGAAGGACTGTGCAGATGAGGCAGAGAAGTACCAGGGTCACGTGACACGGGCGGACGGCCAAGTTGGTAAGCAATAAATTGT